TAGGCGCCCCAGAAAAGTAGATTTTAATCAGGATATAAGAGCTACAAACTTTAAAAATAAAAGGTTGTTTTAAGTACTTTAAAAGGACTTAAACTCTTCACTTCTCATTGTGTCTAATAGAATATCCTTGCAAAACTTGAATCTTCTATATATATATATATTTTTTTTTTAAAGATTTTATTTATTTATTTTACAGAGAGAGACAGCTAGAGAGGGAACACAAGCAGGGGGAGTGGGAGAGGGAGAAGCAGGCTTCCCGCAGAGCAAGGAGCCCAATGCGGGGCTCGATCCCAGGACCCTGGGATCATGACCTGAGCCTAAGGCAGACGCTTAACGACTGAGCCACCCAGGCGCCCTTGAATCTTATATTTTAAAATAATGAGAATGAATAACAAACAAATTTTTTTGCCCAGCAGTTATGAGAGTCAAGGTTTGGTAGTCATAATAGAAAAGAGAGAGAGAAAGAGTTTAATGATTTTCTAAGAGTTGAAAGAAAAAAAAAAAGAGCCATTAAAAGAACATGTGTGGGGAGAGAGAGAATATGAATATGAGCATGTGAGATGCAATTAACAGAGTTGGGAGTGGAGAAAAATGAAAATGGACTTTAGATCAGGTATTTCCCTAGCCACCATTTAAAGGTATCATCAGTTTTGGGGGTTTAGTGGAAGAAGGGGAGGTATATAAAGCTAAATATGGCTTAATGGGGATATTTAGAAGTTTATTGTTCATAACTTGGGGAGTACCTAAAATTGTTTCCCTCCTGGTAACATTTCTATTAGATCAGATTTGCTCTTTCCCAAATGGGCATTTTTGGATTTCTGAAGACTGTTACATTGTCCTGGACATTTGAATATTAACTTCTTTGTTTTTATAACGTTTGTGCTTCTTGAGGCATCTTAGCATTTCCTACCCACAAACAGATAGGTTCATTTTGGATGAAATTTTGCATGTATAATGTTTTCCTGTTAAATATATTTGTTTAGTTTGTTGTTTTTTTATTCCGTTTCTTCTTTTTGTCTCTTTTCTCTACAGAGGCATCCTTTTAAAAATCAACTTTATCTTTTTATATACTATCTTTTTTGTTCAAGTCTGTCGGGAATGGTCCCTAGTGAAGAGTGGAGTCACGAGGGTATATAAGGTAGCCCCAGACATAATCAGCTGTTAGTTGTCCATGAATAAAATCCCTGTGCTGAGAATTAGTCTTAGCTGCTGCTGCTATCCCATCCAGCTAAATCTTGTGCAGTTGATAGTGCTGTGCCATGAATTTACCAGAGATAGGTGGGAGGGAGAGCAAACATTGAACATATTTGTATCTTTCACCTCCAAAACCAAGTGAATATTAACTTATTTTTGAATTATTTGAAACCAACTAAAACAACTTTCTGTATGGTAGGTATTTAGTAACAATAGCATAATCCTGTGCTGCTGTATTATTACTATTTTTTAAAAAGATTTTATTTATTTATTTGACAGAGACAGAGAGAGCAGGAACACAAGCAGAGGGAGAGGGAGAGTAGGCTTCCCACCGAGGAGGGAGCTCGATGTGGGACTCGATCCCAGGACCCGGGATCATGACCTGAGCCGAAGGCAGACGCTTAATGACTGAGCCACCCAGGCGCCCTGTGCTGCTGTATTATTAAGCTGTGTACACACACTGTCTATTTACGGTCATTGTTTCTGTGTGGACTTAGCTTCAGAAAACTATGTCACCTCAGTTTGCTGTCAACTTTTAGGCTCTTTGTGCTTTTTCTGTCTATTCAAGCTATTAGCTTCATCATAAAGGACTTACCCTCCCCCCAGAAAAGGACTACTTTCCCTAGAAAAGGATTTTTGGTATGCTGTATCTTCAGATCAGGTTTTCTTATATTGCTGAATCATTCATGAAACAATATTGAGCACATACTACAATGTTGAGCAGCTAACTACATGACAGTTACTGAGGATACAGAGATGAAGAAGGCATAGAGATTCCTTGTTCTCCAGGAACCTGCCATCTAGTTGGGTTGATGGGTATATAAATAGATCATTATAAGAGAATGTACAAACTCAGTGAGCATAATGATAAAGATGTGCATGAAATATTCTGGAAGCATAAAGAAAGGACTTCTAATCCAGTGTCTAGTACAGCAGTCGTTAGCTACATTTGGCTTTTTAAATTAATCAAAGTTAGGGTGCTTGGGTGGCTCAGTTGGTTAAGTGACTGCATTCGGCTCAGGTCATGATCCTGGAGTCCCTGGATTGAGCCCCGCATTGGGCTCCCTGCTCGGCGGGGAGTCTGCTTCTCCCTCTGACCCTCCTCCCTCTCATGCTCTTTCTCTTCATTCTCTCTCTCTCAAATAAATAAAAATCTTTAAAAATAAATTAATTAATTAATTAAAGTTAAATGAAGTTAAAATTTTAGTTCCTCAATCACACTGGCCACATTTTATTTGCTCAGGAGCCACATGTAATTAGTGACTACTTTATTGACAGCACAGATACAGAATATCTTCGTAATTATAGAAAGCTCTATAGAACATTATTGAAAAGGAGGCGACAGAGAGCTGAGGCTTAAAAGTTGAGTACTAGCTAGCCAGGAAGGGGTTGGATAGGGACAGAATAAAACATTCTAGGTAGAAATCCCAGTTGGTCGAGACTGAGGAGTTTCTTGGGATGTGTGGTTTTTAGAGCTAAAACTGGAACAATCCTGAGAAAACTGGGACAGTTGGTCACCCAAGTAGAAAGGACTTCATGAACAAAGACACTGGATCTAGAGAAAAGCTTCACATAGAGAGCAGCTTACATTTGTTTGGTGTTGCAGGAACATAACAGTTCATATAAGGGATTGGAAATGAGGCTGCAAGGACAGACATCAGACTTGCAGGTGATACTGGAACATGACCTTATAGGGATGAAAGGCCATGCCAGAATTTTAAGCCGGGGAGTATCATAATTTTGGTCACTTTTACATTTTAGGTAGATATGACAGGCAGCTATGTGGGAGATGAATTTGAGGGAGCAAGTTTGAAGGCAGTGAGATGCTAGGAGACTTGAAGTAATACAGGGTTAGAAATCCTAAGGACATGGTAGTGAGGAGGGGAGGGTTTCATAAATATTTATGAGGTATGTGGGGTGCCTGAGGGGCTCAGTCGGTTAAGTGACTCTTGGTTTTGGCTCAGGGTATGATCTCTGAGTCCCAGGATTGAGCCCCACCTCAGGCTCCCTGCTCAGCAGGGAGTCTGCTTGAGATTCCCTCTCCCTCTCCTCCTCCCCCTGTCCCCCCCCCCAGAGTGTGCATGCTCTCGCTCTCTCTCAAATAAATACATCTTTAAAAAATATTTATGAGGCATAATTAATAGGATGTGGTGTTTGATTGGATGAGGGAGTCAGGGATATGCCATGGCTTCTAGCATAGGTGATCTCCTGTACCTTTCTTTTTATTTTGTAGTGGTAGTCCCTTCCCTCTCCAGTTATTTTATCCCTGTTTACCTTCTCATCATCTCATACCCCAATCCTCAACCCCCCAATTTAAAAACGACTTGTTACATTACATTCTAAGAGGACTGCCCAGATAGCAAAGCAGCTCCCGCCCCCAAGGTAGACCTTAGCTCCATTCCTTTTTGTTCATTTTGTTCCACAAATCTCCAGCATCCCGCTCTCTCCTGCCCATATCTTTCCCTTCCAGGGAGAACAAACTGGATAGGAGCAGTTCAGGGCAAGGGATCATGTCTTCATCCCGCTATGTACTATTTAGAAACTACAGTTCGGTCTGCAAGCCAGCCTTCCTGTAGGCCTCTTTCTGTTCCTCCTTTCCTTCACCTGCTCAAATTTACTTGCCCTCACACCAGTTCATTCTAATGGTATATTTTTTTATTTTAGAGGATATTATATTTTTATTTTGTAATCTTCCTATGAGGGTGGGGATTTTTGTGTGTTTTGTTCATTCATGTATCCCCAGTACTCAGAAAAGTGCCTGGCATGTAGTAGATAATCAGTAAGTATTTGTTGAATAAATTAATCCTGGTGATAATACATGATCAAAGAGAGCAGTAGCATAGTGTACATAGAGATTATTGGCTTGGGAGTTGGGAAACTTGGATTCTAGTCCTGGCTTTGCCACAGAATGCTCACAGGGTCTCTACCAAGTCACTTCCCCTTCACGGGGCCTCAGTTTCTTCCTGGAAACAATGAAATCCCTTATATTAATGGAATACAGCAAATAAGGGCATTAATATACAGTTGAGACTTCGTTAAGCAGTTTGGGTTGTGTGTATATAACAACGTGCTTAAAATATATGTGAAATTTTCTAGCTTTCTAAGTGACTCACCTAGAAAACTATGCTTATTTTTAGAGTAATTAGTCTGTAATATGAAAGAACCTGAATTTTATTTTTATTTATTTTTTAAAAGATTTTATTTATGTATTTGACAGAGAGAGACACAGTGAGAGAGGGAACACAAGCAGGGGGGTGGGAGAGGGAGAAGCAGGCCTCCCGTGGAGCAGGGAGCCCATTGCGGGGCTTGATCCCAGGACCCTGGGATCATGACCTGAGCCGAAGGCAGACGCTTAACGACTGAGCCACCCAGGTGCCCCAGAACCTGAATTTTAAATTTGTCTTGATTGGCTTTTACTTTTAGACTCTGCTCTCTTAAGAAACTGAAAGAGGGGGAAAACCATAAGAGATGAGTAACTCATATTTGAAACCTAAGTATAATCATTATGTTTACACTTTCCATCAGAGTAGTATAAAAGTATATCTTAATGTACAGAGTTAAGACAATACCAGAGGTAATTTTTAATTAATCTTTAAAGATTTTTCTTTAAATTGAAATATTTTGGTGCTCTGCTGCATTCAAATTTTCTGCTAATATAAAGTATACAATATCACAGGTATTCAGCTCATCTTATTATTAAGTGATACTGAGACACAAATGCTTTTATAGTCACCAGTCAGTGACAGTTTAACATCTGCTTTGTGCTCAGCATTGTGTATATTAACCAGTTTGTTAATTCTTTTCAGAGAGGCAAGAAGAGAAACTGAAAAATAACAACAGAGACCTATCCATGGTATGAGTCTGAAGTATAATATTATGGTAAACCACAAAATGTTTTATAGCATAAGACTCTGATTTGCATTAAATACATACTTACCTTTTCAGAAATTCACCCAATCATGTCATGGGTGTTCCTGGACCAGATGGAACTGAAAATATGCTTCTGGGCTTAAATGTCACTTCAGTAATAAGAGAAGCTCTTTTGGGCTATCTCGGAGGTCATAATTTGTCCCTTTCACACAGTTCTTGATTAGCTGCGCCCTTCTGTTTCAAATGAAGTTGTCCGTTTTCTTTTTTTCTGATGTCATTGCTGAATCTTTGGTTTTCTGGTGACCTGTGTCATGCCGGCATCTGAGTTGGAGCTTTATAGATGGCCTTTATTGTTGCCTTTGTTCTTTAAGAGGCTTTTTGTTCTGCATGTCAGGCATACCATAAAGTGTAAAGAAAAATGATTTTATTACCCATTTACTCATCATTTTTAAAGAGTAGAGCTTGTTCAAGAGTTTTTCTAAGGCATAGGTAGGCTAATTATGTAGCTTGACTAATTTTTCTATTTAATTTCTGTATGTTTAACACAGGACATCTGAACTGTGCAACAGTTGTCTTTGCTTTCGGAGAGACCTTTGCTATATCATCTTCTGTTTCTTGCAATTTTACTGAGTAAAGCTGTAATTTAGAAGGGCATCTTTTTGAAAATAGCTTTTCTGTTGACATAGTTATTAAGTGTTTATAAGACCAAATTTGGAAACTACAGAAAGAAGAGAGAAAAATTGCTGATAAACCTGTCATCCGGGGGCCCCACGTTAGCTCAGTCAGAAGAGCATGCAACTCTTGATCTTAGGGTCGTGAGTTTGAGCCCCACGTTGGGTATAGAAATTACTTAAAAATAAAATCTTAAAAAAAAAAAAAATAACTGTCATCCAGAGATAATGATTGTTAATCTTACATCTATATGATCTTTTGTTTATTTATACTTTTACCACTTAATGTAATTAAGTAAGAAGTTAGCTGCAAGTAACAGAATACCTAACCAGCAATGACTTAAACAGATAAAGATTTTTTTTACTTGTTCAAGAAGTCCAGAGGTTGGTAGTCCTAACCTGCTGTAGCAGCTCAGTAATGTTATTAAGGACTTAGGTTAGCCATTAGATTATGGTTGTTTGGTTGTTTGATGGCACTTTATCCTTTATCTTCAGGCATTATGTTCTTCATTCCAGGCAAGAAGAATGGACAAAAGGCCTAAAGAGATACTGGCCAGCTTTGTCCCTTTTAAAAGTCCCGTTCAGTACTTGTAACTCACTGGCCAGAACTGGGTCACATGGCCACCCAATGCTATTCATCAGAAGGGGGCAAGGAGAAGGGTTTGGAGGTGGAGGGTGGGTTAGTCAATAAACAGCTTGTTGCTATGGGGAGTGTCTTTTAAACATGACATGAAACCGGAATTTTTGGGTGTGCCTTAGTAGTGGTTTTCTTTAGCGTGAAATGACCATTTGTTGGTCTCTTTATAGGTCCGAATGAAATCCATGTTTGCAATTGGCTTTTGTTTTACTGCCCTAATGGGAATGTTCAATTCCATGTGAGTATCCTTTAGTAATATGGTTTTACCTAACTATTGTTCTATATGTGTGTGTGCTTATGATCAATTAACCTTTTTTTTGTTTTTAAAGATTTTTATTTATTTGACAGAGATAGCGAGAGCAGGAACACAAGCAGGGGGAGTGGGAGAGGGAGAAGCAGGCTTCCTGCGGAGCAGGGAGCCTGATGTGGGGATCGATCACAGGACCCCCCGATGCGGGGCTCAATCATGACCTGAGCCGAAGGCAGACACTTAATGACTGTGCCACCCAGGTGCCCCAATTAACTTTTTTTTTTAAGATTTTATTTATTTGAGAGAGAGAGAGAGAGAGCACTAGAGAGAGAGAGCAAGCACAAGCAGGGGACAGAGGGAGAGAGAGAAACAGGCTCCCCACTGAGAAGGGAGCCCAATGTGGGACTCCATCCCAGGACCCTGGGATGATGACCTGAGCCGAAGGCAGACGCGTAACCGACTGAGCCACCCAGGCGCCCCAGCAATTAACTTTTTTGGTAATATTTTATTTTGATACTTCAAATTTACAGAAAGTTTACAAAAATAATATATCCATTATCCAGATTCACAATTGTTAACATTTTGCTCCGTTTTCTTTCTTTTTCTATCTCTCCATATCATCTGTGTATTCATTCATACATGTATTATTTATGTATTTTTCTTAATTATGCAAGAGTATGTTATGGGGTTCATGCCCCTTAATCCATAACTACTAAATTTTTTTTTTTAAGATTTCATTTATTAATTTGACAGAGAGCACAAGCAGAGGCAGAGGGGAAGCAGACTTCGTGCTGAGCAGGGAGCCCAGTGCGGGGCTCAATCCCAGAACCCTGGGATCGTGACCTGAACCAAAGGCAGATGCTTAACCAACTGAGCCACTCAGGAGCTCCCATAACTACTAAAATGTATATTTCCTAAGAACATGGACATTCTCTTATATAACTTCAATCCAGTTTCCAAAATCAAGGAGTTTTGAGAGAATACAATTATATAATATCTTTCCCACCCTCTTTAATATCAAGGATCTTTTATGTACAAGGTAAAGACCCAGGTATGATGGGGCCTCTAAAAAGAATTCAATATGTCTTCTGTGTTTTTAAGTTACTTACTAGCATACTGGTTCAAAACGAAGGTAGTCATATAGAGATGTTTGACTCTTAAAATAGAGTCTTAACAATGATAAAGTAAGTTACTGTTGTCTAAACTGGCAGATAGCAGGCCTGAGTAATTGTGGAACTGCTTTTGACAGAAACTGGGAAAATATCCAAAGATGACAAGCAGTCATTTATTACTTTTCAAGGCCCACATGAATCATCCCACAGAATGAGAATTTCCCTCTCTCCCTCTTTTCCTTCCTTTCCTCCTACTCTTCCTCCCCTGCTTCATTTCTGTCTCTCTCTCCCTCTCCCTGCCCCTCCCCCCTTCCTCCAGTCCATTCTTCCCTCCACACCAGTTCAGTGCCTACGTTGTGCCAGGCATTGTGCTAGTGTTAGAATATAACAGATAAGGTGTGGCCCCCGTCCTCAGTAATAATCAGTTTTATGGGAAGAAAAGCTAGATAAACAAATACCTTGATGGATGCTACAGTAGAAACCTGTGTGAAGTGCAGTTGGGGGAAAAGAAGTGAGTGCCTATTTTTACTTAGGTGAGGGACTAGAGGTGGTGTCCACATGGTTTTAATGTAAAATTTCCTTTTAAGTAATGATTACTAAAATTATAGACCTTTCGGGCTGAAAGGGACCTTTGGAAGGTGAAATAACTTGCCTAAGCTATCTAGAAGTCTCATGATTTCTGGCTTATAATTTTAAACTCAATACTCTTTCCATCCTGCCGTACTTCATTTCTTGGGTACATATCCCCATGAGTTACCAGGCAAAGCAAACACCCTTGAAAGGTTTTATAATTAACTACTAAGTGTCCATGTAACAACTCAAATCCACAAATATTCTTCGTAAAGTATTGCTTTCTGGACAGTATAGAGCTGGCTAAGTACTCATCTGTACTTTTTAAATTTGGTGCTTAACTTCTACTTACTTTTCTCTTACTTCTGATGTTTTAAATAATATTTTAAGGTTAGTGTTGTGTCTTTGTGTCTGTTCTGATTGGCCTTAGCTTGACTGTATGATTTTTGTGACAGATTTGAGTCCTGCTTTGCTAGAGGTTCAGCATTTTATTTTATTCCTTAGTCTAAATATATTACTAAATGAAGCTAATATATTTCTTTACCGAACTTATGTTTATGTCTCCCTCTACTAGACTGTAAGTTCCTTATAGTCTTCACATGTGACAGTTTTTATATCCTTAGGGTTTTAGGGCTTATATAGATATTTATTGAATAAATTTAAAAATATGTGTAAATATACACCAGTTTCTTCTGTCATGGTTTCTATACTATTCTGGGGTCAGAATTTGATGCCATTTGAAATGTGAATCAAAAAAATTTTTTAAAAGATTTATTTATTTGAGAGAGAAAGATGGCATGCATGAGCAGGGGGAGGGGCAAAGGGAAAGGGAGAATCTCCAGCAGACTTCCCGCTGAGCATGGAGCTGACATGGGGCTCAATCCCAGGACCCTGAGATCACAACCTGAGCTAAAATCAAGAGTCCCAAGAGTCAGATGCTTAACCGACTGAGCCACTCAGGCCACCCCGTGAATCAAAAATTTTTAAATTATAATTACTAATTTCCAAGATGTCAGTGGTTCATTTAGGAAAACACTAGTTAGTGAACCAATTACAATGGAACCAAATTCTCAAAAACCATGAGAGTCTGAATGTAGTTGATGAAAATGTCTTCGTGTGTGTGTGTGTGTGTGTGTGTGGCTTAACAGAAGTTTATTTCTCATTCCCATAAAGTCTGTCACGGGACTGGGGGACTCTCCAGACCAGCTGCTCTCCATGTGGGGGGCTCAGCATTACAAACTACTTTGAATTTCTGGCCCCCGTGTCTGTATGGGCTTCCATGATTGAGACGGGAAGAGCACTAGCATCTTGCACCCACAAATAAAGGCTTTAACCCAGATGAAAACGTCTTCTACTGACTCTTAGGTCATAGTTTATTTTGCCTGGGATAGCTCAGAGTCTTGTAATAAGACAGGCTAATATCAGCAATAAATATTGAGAGTGTTTATTTCAGTATTAACCTATCAATAGTGTTTGGAAAAAATAATGCAAAATTGTGCACATCCTATTGACAGGTTAGTAATGTAAATCTAATTTTCAAAGACTATATCTCTTTAATGATGAGAGTGTTGACATTAGGCTTAAGTAGGGAGAAGTCTTGACTTGTAAACTAAGTTGTGAAACATGGAAATGAATCATTTTGGCTTATGGTCATTATTTACAGTAGGAGGTAATGTTAGATTATCTTTTTTGGAAGAAATTGCCAGTTCTTTCATTCTTTTCTGTGGTTTAAACTAGAGCTTGGCGTACAGTTTTGATTTGAATCCATAGTTGGTTTAGTTACTAAGTGAAGCTAATATATTTGATTATAGTCATAGAATCACATAACTGCAAAGTATTATATTTCTTATGTTTCTCCTTTGAGTCAATAATCACTTTCATTTGCCTTCCTTTGATTTTCTCCCTCCAGTTTTCAATTTTTTGTGAGTGTACTACATAAATATTTATAGGTTTCAACTATTTTTAATGTTTATTCAGGTCGAAAAGCTGCATGCCATTTTTTTTGTGCCTCATGCTGTGGAAGATAAAAGAAAAATTACCCAGCCTGAGCCCTCATGCTGCTTATTCCCTTCAAATAGAATAGACATCTATATGGGAAATACTGATTTATTAGTTAAAAATTTACTGTTCTTTTTTATGTAGGGGTCATTGTAATTTGTAGAAGATCCATTATAGAGAGAAATTTGAGAGAGAGAAATTTTATAACAGTAACACCCTACCTCAGCTATATTTTGCCTTTTTCTTGGGCTGCAGAACAGCCTGTCCCTGGGCCTCAGAGAGGCTTATTTCTCTTTACGTTATTTTTGAGACTCACTTGGAACCCATCATGTTCTCTGCCAAAGCAGTGCGCTTCCTGATACTTGTGTATCTTTCAGTGATGCTCATTTCTAGTCACCTGGAATTGAAAGCTTTATCACTTCCCTTCCTCTCTTCCTTTCAGCACACAGTTCTTGTGTATCTACCCTGTCCCACATTTAATGCTGGACACTGAGTTATCTCTAACATTGTCAGTCCTCTGTTCCATCAGTTAACAGTTCCTGTTTATTCTACCTCTCTCTGTCTAGCCATCCATCCACCTGCCCATCCTTCCCTCCCTCCTTCTCTGCCCCTCTTCTTCCCTCCTCCTTCTCCTCTTCATCCATGCTGCACCAGCTCTCATCCTAGTTTCAGCTCATTGCCTTTCGTCTCTGCTATTACCCCTTAATCTTGGGCTTGCCAGTAGCTTCCTAGCTGCTCTCCGTCTTCAGGTGCCTCCTGTCACTGCAGCATTAAGTTAACCATCCCCAAAAGCATGTTACTCATTGTCTAATAACCACATCTGCTACTGATGGAATAGTAACTGTGTGTTGGCCACTGTTGGCCTTTATATAGGTTGCCCTTGTAATCTTAACAGCCTTCCAAGATGAGAATTACAGTCTTTATTTTACTGATGAGAATATGAGATTCCAAGTTACTTAACTTGCCCAAGGTCTCAAAGCTAGTAAACGTTGAGCTGGAATATAACTCATGTGTCTCTGACACTAAAGTCCTTATGTGGCATCATGCCACTCAGACTGCTGCTTTCAGTCCAAACTTTTTAACCTGGCTTTCATGCCACTCCATGCTTTGGCCCCAGCCTGTTCTTCAAACTTTCTTTCTTTTTACTGTCTACAAACTATTGTGTTCTTTTTTTTTTTTTTTAAAGATTTATTTATTTGACAGAGAGAGACACAGCGAGAGAGGGAACACAAGCAGGGGGAGTGGGAGAGGGAGAAGCAGGCTTCCTGCTGAGCAGGGAGTCCGATGCAGGGCTCGATCCTAGGACCC